CCCTAAATGCAAGCAATGCTGAGGGCAGGATATGCCATTAACCTACTGCTATGGAGCTTTCCCTCACCTCCAAGGTCTTTTTGCAAAAATAAGGGCAACAGCTGTTGCCTCTTACTTTAGAAAGCATGGAACAGTCACAGTGGTTTGCCTAGCAATTAGACACACTGTACAGGGAAAAAAAAAAGTTTGTTCTTATAGCAAAACAAACAAGGTAAAAGGGGGAAAATAATAGGGCTGCCCACACTCAGAATGCACAGCAAATATAAAACATCTGCTTGGATTGTTGCTGACCCTGTCCTGTTCTGTATGGTTTGGGGGTGGGGATGGGAGGAGGGGAAAACTGATCCTACTGAAATTTTGCAACCTGTTTGCAAGCAGCACAAATTCAAAACAATAAACATACAACATTAATGAAATTGATAACAAAACACTCATGTGAGAAGGACCAAACCTCCTCACATGCCTGTTCTGGAACACTTTGAGGACTTTGGGGTTAGCATGAGAGGGAAAAGGTATTCCTGAACTTTCCACAATGTGCTGCAGACAGGACCATGCAAGTACAACTGCAAAGTCAACTTGGCCTGTCTGCTGTGACACTGCTCCTGCAACTGTGAACAGCAGGATGACAGCCAGGTCATGCTTTGAAAGTCATCTTCTTATTGCATATTATTCCTATTTTTTGGCAGAACGCTTAGTGCACAATTGCTGGTGTGGTGCTATACCAGTCTCCCCAGGCTCCTTCCCTAAAGGGTGGGATTTCTAATGCACTGGTAATTTCCTGGAAGCCCTTTTTTTAATAACTTTTCTTTTCCCAGGACATGGCTCTTTATAGATATATAGATATATATATATACACATACATACATATGCATTTTTTATATATATATGTGTATATATATATAAAAATAGCAATTTCATAGTTATATACAGGCATTAATAAAGTGCATAATGTTATTGGCTATTTTCAAATCCTTTTCCTGAGGAAGTGCTACCATATATAGCTCCTCCTACGACATGATGCTGGCCGCCAGTGCTAGGGTATGACTGCTACTCCCCCAGCTTGTAATTCCCAGAATACATCTCCCTCTCCAGAGCTGGAGCCTAAAGGGAGTAGTGACAGCCTCAGTCCTCCAGGAAGCAAGTCAAGGCACTTCTTCCTTTGCCAAGGTGAACACGTCTAGGAGCGACTTCCCTCCGTTCCGGAGCTCTCGGGCACGCGCTACTTCGCGGTGGTCACGGAGCCGTCCTCGGGAATCTTCTCCTCCGAGCAGCTCCTTCCCGAGAGCCTGTCGTGGTGCTTGAGCTCGCTGAAGCGCTCGGCCACGCACTGCGCCGTCAGCCGGGCCTCGGGGTCGTGGTCCCAGCACTCGATGAGCGTTTCGCACACCATCTGGATGCCCTGCAGGGAGCACAGAGACAGCAGCCGTGAGGGGGCCAGCCACCAGCAAGGCCTCTCCCAGAGAGCTGCTTCAGTGCCCTCCGAATTTTGGGCGTTACTTCACGTGTGTCCTGGGGGTTCTTTACGGGATCTGCTGCTTCTGTCATGGGGGCACTGTTTTCTTTTCGTTTTGTTTTAAAGAAACCCTACTACAATATTTTCAGCACTGTAGCTGGAACTGTCATTTCTGGGCACGTGGTCTGATATGTTGTAACAAGAACAATGATGCTTCAGACTTGTGATATAGAATCAAACAGGGATTTTTGTTTAATAAATATGATCAAAATTCTTGGATAACTTGACCTCCTGTTAAACCCATGCCCTTGCAAGCCTGAACAGTGCTTCGGTTTTTCAAACAAAAAAATCGTGATTGCCAGCACTATTGAGCTGTACATCAGCTTTTTATTAATTTCTTGTAGACTACCTAAATCTATGGACAAATATGGGCCACAGTCCTATGAACACTTAAGCACATCACTCACAGTTGTAACTGTTTAACCTTCAATTCCAATGCAAATGTTTGCAGGAGCAAAAAAACAGTTGCATCTCTGTAATGAATTTTATAAACATGAAGTATTTGCCAGGAAACTGTGTTTTGCTTTATGGCACTAAAAGCCCATTAAGTAGGATTTATCTTAAACTTATTTAAAAAAATAACATTTCACAACACTGCATTAATTGTATAATTTACCTAATTGGTGATGTTGACTGATGTCAATGCTAATAGCAGAATGTTACTGTCTGTATACAAATAACATTAGTTTTCTGCTGGCATTGAAATTACAAGCAGTAAATTAAATTAAATATTAAACATTAACTTGAAATCAATAGTGCAACAAATCTCATTAAGGGGGGTGTGGGGTAATTGTAATATGTAAATCCATTCCAGAATTTTATCATGATGAATAATGAGTTCATTACAAAAACACAACTGCAGAGGAAGGAAATGAATATGGAAGAGCCATTACAATAAGAACAACTTCTATGGAGTTCAAAGCAGATCCTCAGCTGCTGCAAACCATCATAGCCCTGCAGAAACTGATGCATCACTGCATCTTAGACAGCACAATGTGAAACGCTGAAGGGATTCAGGCAAAGGGAATTAAATCCACCTTCATTAAATGTCCTCTAAGCATGTTATCAGGCATCTTCTTCCTTAGACTCAGCTGAACCCTGTGGAGCCAGCTATGCCTGTTCTGGTGACACATAAGCACAAGTGCATGGCCCTCCCAGCTGGTGGGGTGCTCTGTGCTGGGGGCAGTTTAAGGTGTGGGTTTTATATAGGGAAGAAACTTATGAAGTCAAATGCAGGACATCTAGGTTCAAATCCATTATCATTTTACTTGCTTTATAAACCCAGAGGGGATGAGATCCACAGTGTATCCTACAGCTCTACCCCAGCACCTCGAGCTGCAGTTCTCTGCACACTCAGCCTTGCTGTCAAGGACTTTTAGTGCTGGTAGTATCAGATACCCAGGTGTCCCTCAAAATTCAACTTTCTTCCCTCATTAAATGCTCCTCACAGCTGAGTACATAAGGAGCAAGTCCCTGCAGTCCAGGAAGGGGCTGCATTCTGCCATGGTCATCAGGTGGCAGATGTTCCTGGTTGGAAAGATGATTGATTTTCACCACTCACTTGGTCTTTTTTAAGTAGCTGTCAGACTGATTTTAACTTCCCAAATGGAATTAAAAAGGGAGTGTTACATTGCTCTTGAAGGAAATAGTAGATGATATTCTTGGCTGCTTGGGCTTTTGTAAACGATTGTGATACTTTCCTTTTGTCACTAAAGACCACTATTTCATTGAGAAGTGGAATGACCAAGCCTCACTTCTCTAATATCTCTACTGATAAAACTATTGAGAGAAAAGGTGAAGAAATGCATGTGTTTGGCTTGTTTCCATTCAGTTTCATCCACTGAAAAATCTACTATTGCCTAGGAAGTGCAACCATGGTGCTCGTGAATGGAGGAAGCTGACAACCTACTTTGTGATATGCAAGGGAAACGGACTGCTAATGCACAACCTGAATAAAACCATACTGGCTTGCTGAAGACTAATTTCATATTTCCTTTAACCTGTCAACAGCTGGGATACAACTGTGACTGGTTTCCATGGTAAAGTACTCAGATTTGCTTTCTCTGCTGAAGATCCTATATAGTAGGATGGTCTCCCTGGAAATGGGGTAAAACAAATTGAACAGTCCCCTGTTTGCAAAGCTACCAGTGGTGGATGGAGAAGGGCACCACGCTGCTTTTGGTGTTGATTAATGCTGAAACCAGCCTGACTCAAAGTTAAACATCTTGATAGTGAGGTGAAAATGTGGTAGACCTGGTGAACTGCCCAACAAAGGAACAAACAAGTGATACTATTAATAACTTATCTAAAGCTGCTGAGCTGACTGAGCTGGCCTGGAGACATCTGACTGACAGTCAGTCAGCTTTATATTATGAAAGCCCAGTCCAACCTTTTAACAATAGCATCATCTAACATAACCCTTCTTGGAGAAAGTGTACAGATTCCTCCTCTTGAGGGGTCCAATGCCTCAAGGTTACTTCCATGCCCTCAAGGTTACTCCTTGAGGCTGAGTGGAAGAGATTTTCCTAAGCTTGTTAGCATGGGTGGCTGACATCAATCTTAAGTTAATAATTGGTTTTGCTACCTTTAGTATAGCTGCTTTAATATGATTGCTTCAATATTGCTTCATAGTGCACACTATACGAGTAGTTACAGCTCCTATACTGTGTAGTATATAACTCTAAGACCTTTTAGTCTAGTCATTATCATAATAAATAATTTATATTTTTATAACTAGTTTGGCATCCTTAATCATGTGGGACAAAGTTGTATAATGGTTCAATTGCACCTGTGTAATCCTTAAAATGTAAACTGTTGACAAAATCTGTGGCTAGGACTGAGCCCAGCCACACCTAGACACCTCTCTGAGACGGAGTTTAGAAAGCAAAGGGATCCTTTCTGTACCTCATGACTCAACAGGAGGGTTTCTCTAATAAATTTTGTCTGAAGCTCCCATTCTGCCTGCAACAGAGGCCCATGTGTGAAGTTTTCTTTGCCCTTTCAGAGCCTACACACAGTGTGTTTTAAGGGCCTAAATATTCTGTGGCTCTCTGGATGATTTTTGGATCTCAGGCTTCCAATGTGTGTGTTTTGATTGCTTTTAGATTACACTGGTGTGCAGCAAGAATACCAGGGCATTGGGGCAGGCACGCTGCAGAGCACTGTGGTGTCTGAACCACGTCAGCACCAGTGCCTCTCTGCGATGGAATTTCTCCATGTGTGACAGATCTCTCCATGCAAAGACAGGTGCAGCCTGCTGGGCAGGGCACTGAGGTAAGGCTCAGGCTTCAGGCAGCAGCTAAATGCACAATGCAGCTCCCACTGCCCACGCGTGGTGCTCTTACCTGATGGTTAAGCCAGGAGCTGGGGATCTCGGGTCGCCCTCTGTCTCTCAGGACATTGTCCTTCATGCTTTCCACACAGGGGTGTTCTCGCACTTTGGAGCCGAATGGGGGCTCGTACTCTTTCACTTCTGGGAAAGAAGCAAACACAGGGTATTTAGCTGGGCTGTGCTGGTGCCAAGAGTGAAGGGAGCTGGCTGTTCTCTGGGAGTAGGAGCTACTGATTAGCTGCTCGCTGCCACTGTTCTGCTTGACCAGCTCCAAACAAAGCAAAGCCAGTTGGCATTTTCAAAAATGTTTCAAATGTGTTTCTCACACACACTCCCTCCCTCCCCTTTTGTTTCCTAGCCAACAAAACAATTCTCATTTAAACTCCCGAGTACATAATAATATTAGCAACAGTTCAAGAAGCAGAGTAATCTATAATGGTTTGTGAGCCTTTCAATCTCTGCCGAGGTAAAATGCACAGGAGGTTTAAGGTGAGTTTTGCATGAGCCCAGCTTTTGAACAGTTGGTCACCCTTAGCTCTCCTGGAGTCCACACACACTTATCAGGTTAAATATAAACTGAAATCTATCTAGGTCATGGTAGATGTGAATGTGTGGATTGCTAGGACAAAACTGTTGCTTGGAAAGGGCAAAGATACAGTTAAGAAGCAATGCTGGAAGCTGCCACACTGCCCTTGTTTACTCCTGAACTGCATTCTTTTGTAGAAAGTAGTAGTCTGCTCTTATTTTAGATTTCCTTCCCAAAATGGATCAGTTTTGGCCTGTGATACAGGGGCACAGCTTTCTGAAAGGGCTGCTGCCACTCTAGTTTTTGTTTGCATGTTGCATATTTTCTTTGCTTTTCTTTGGAGAGAGAAAGGAAGAGGCAGACATATGGGACCTTTGGAGAAAACTCAAGAAATCTCTGAGAGCGGAAATATTATAGTAGATGCTGACACAGTGTAGAAAATGCTGTGGTTTCTTTGGGAACAGATGGAGACTTTACTCACAGGCCTAATGACTTGCTGCTATCAGATAAAGATTTATGAAGCTGGCCTGTTCTGCTGCCTCTTATTTCTTTCTAGGAATTAATTGAGGGCAAGAAAAACTGAAGTATAATCTACAAAGCAGTCTGGAGAAAGCATGTGAATGCCCAGATGACGTGTGAACAGAGACGAATGAGCAGAGAGACAAACCACTGCTGCCGGATGCTACAACCAAGTTCAACTGCAGAGCCCAGTGTTGCTTACTCCTCTAAAAGGCTAAAAACTGCTGAGAAATATGAATAAGGATTTAAGGCCCAGAAGAAATGGGAAGAACATCTAACACTTGGATTTGTTTACTTTGGGAGAGAAAGGTAAGGATGGGGTCGTATGATATGCTACTGAAAAAAACTAAGGATCAAGACAACACAGGTCAGATCCTTCTGTCACATCTCATGATAAAAGCAAGGTAGTATTGAAGACAAATATCTTTGGATTTTTCTCCAAAGCCTTGAAGTCAAGCTGTAGATCTCACTTGTATGTGATGGCCATGAGATGAAGACTTTATCAGGCTAATGCTTAAAAAGAATAGCCAAGTTACAATAACCAACATTTTGGAAGGGATATTAAACCTTTTGCTTCAAATGCTCAGCATTTAGAGATTCAGCTGCAAACAACTGTGTGCAGTGCAGCAGATGACCCCACAGATGCCTCCTGCAGAGCTCTTCTTCCTTCTCCCTAGCCATCTGCTGCTGGCCACTTTCCACAAGATGCTCTGGAGAATGGCTATAGTCCAGAAACAAAACTCCCATCTCCTAAGACCCAAGGGCCAAAGTCTGCTTTGCTTTTTTTCCTACAAGAATGCAAACCAGTTTCACCCACATTAATCTGAGTCTGAGCTGACTCAGACAAAGTAAATTTACAAGACTTTAGCCCTAGAAATGAATTGGGAAGTTCCCATGTTGCTAGTCAGACCTGGGTTTGCATGCAGCAGATGCACAGTGAATATACATACCTGTATGTTCAAAGCTAACAAAAATATTAAAGTTCACCAGGAGAATTTTAATCACATGACCTAGATGGCCATCTCCTGCACCATCTCCATCAGTCATGGCTCAGTTGTGGTAGTGGTCATGGACACCAGCCAAGGTTCTGAGATCTTGCAGGGTGAGGAATTAAAAGAGTCTCAATGGCCAACAGAGGGAAGCTGGTGCTGTGGTGCTGACTTGTTGTTCCCTCTCACTAATTTAATCTCAAGGTTACTTAAGTTAATGAGATGGTTCAAGCAGGAGAACGGAAAACCTTTCCTGGGAATTGACAGCTTCATAATACATTTTTTCTGTTTGAGAATTTGTTTTTAAATTATGACCATTCCTCTTCCAAATACAAGGATTTAATAGGTTCTTCAGGTTTGGATTTTCTGTTGTTGCTTTGTTTTTGTTTATGGTAAAGAAAGAGAAATTTAGGCCAAATACCAATTCACTGTAACGACTTTCTACTAATACAGTTATGCCTTCCCTCAGTTTGAAAAGCATGTGGCATCTCCTTGTTATTTATTATCATGCTTCTCTTTCCCTTGGAAAGTAAAAAAAGCCCATTAAATCCTCATGCAGTAAGTCATCCTAATGCTGCGGAATCTCAAGTGTCAGACACATTTTGCAGTAATAGCTGGTGTTATTCATGGATCATGTTTACGTGCTGCAGTAGATGTAACAGATGTCATTCTGAGGTAGGTTAAGATGTTTGTGGCTAGATGCCTGTGTGTGGTTGTACACAGATGCTGATTCTATTTCTCATGCCTTATATGTTTCTTTTCATTGGTTTTAGACTGGTTGGGCACTAAAAATGACAAGCGGATGAAGTACCATAAATACATCAGGAACCACGAACTACAGAACCTTCAGCATTCAAAAATGGCAGACTTCCTTCAACTTTAACCTCCACCATTTAATCTTTATGGTTGAGAGCTCACTTGCACTACTAATTGCTGTACCTCTAGTTTCTTTTGATATTGGCCTAGTTATAGTTTTCAGAAAGGTTGGGATTTGATTTTTAACCCAAAACAGAGACATTACTGAAAATCTATTTGTTCTGTGTGATGAAAGCTTGGAAAATTTGGCTCACTTGTGGTCTTTTTCTACTCTAAGCTTTTTGCAGTGAAATTTTCTTTGGGTCAGAAGAGCATACCACAAACCCTGTTGACACTCCCTTATGTAATCTGTCTTACTGATTTCAGTGGGACAACTTCTCATGCTGGATGATGTTTTATATGTAGAATCAAAGCAGGAGTGAGGTGAAAGGCCAGCAGAAGTCAACTGTGAGGCACGGTCCACAGCAGTCAGCTTGTGTTTGGGAACTTCTAGGTTCCTTTGAAATGCCCCTTTATTTAGAGCTTATGAGGGGAAGGAAAGGATAAATCAGTTGATGGTGGAGCAACTGTGACAGCTCATGCAAACACAGGTAAGAGTCCTTCAGAGAGTGTCTTTCTTCATGCTAGAGGAATTTGGGTAGTGATTCTGCCAACTCACACTGATTGCACAAAGGGAAAATAATGCCCAAAGCAGAGACCCAAAAGTTGTTTCATGGCCAGGTTTAAGATGCTGTCAAATGCTTACTTCATAAATTTCCCTAGGTTTGCCTGTTGAGGGAAGGATGCATTGGGATGAGTGCACACACACCTCCTAAATGACTTCACATCTGATGATCAAAAACACAATCACCCTTCTACAGATTTGGGAGTGCACAAGCTCTGCCATCATTGTAGGCTTAGGAGCTGCTCAGCTAATGCACAGTGAATCCTGAGGTGGGAAAGTGGCAAACACAGAGCACATCAGTGCTCAACATGGGGTGTGGTGCAGTGACCTTATCCACTGCCACAAGGGCTTGTTGAAGGACAGCACTTGCTACCTTACATGTAGCACTGTGGTGACACTGGGAGAATTTCCAGGACAGGGATGCCTGTCATTGGGTGACACTGCACTGTGTGGATCTACCTAGCAGGGTTGTATGCCACTACAAGCCAGTACAGTACACACATGCCCTGACTGGGCTCTGCTTCACAGAAGAACTTTAAATCAGCCCCCAGCTGCAGCCACCTCAGGGCCCACTGGGCAGGCACAGCCCTGCTGCACAGGCCATCTGATTGCTCCCTGCTGCCAGGAATGTCACTGCTCCATGTCAGTGTGATGAAAGCTGAGCACTTCATGAGGTACAGGATGCACAAATGTTTAGTTGCCAAACTGTGGCTCTTGGCTGACTCTTCCCAAATAAGCATAAGATTACTCCTGATTTTATTCACGTGAAACACAGCTCTGGTAAAGCAAGGCTGCCATTTTAAACAAAGCTCTGCTACTACACTGAAGCCAGCCACCACTCCAGGCAGTACAATACCGCACGAGCAACATCGCCATTTTCTGAGGGGTTTGTCTTCTCCCTCTTCACCAAATCCATGCAGCCTAAAGTTCCCTTTCCCCTCCTTCTCCCCTGCCACCCCCAATAGTCCCTCACCCATAGCAGTTGCGATTCAAACCAGATGGTTTTCTTTTCTTTCTAGGAGCCTGTCAGAGAAATTACACTTGTCACAGTCACCAAAGCTGTGTCACTCTGAAAGCAAGTGGTTGAGATGAAAATTATATTTCTTGCAACGTGTAGCATCTGGTGCACAGCTGTTGTGCTGAATGAAATACCAAGTTAACAGCAGCGTGGAACAGTTGAAGTTCTCCCCAAAGTAGTATTGCTGAGTTTCTAAATATGCCTCTTAAATTATACTCCAGTGAAAAATCAGTCAACCTCGATCTTTGCCTCTGTCTCCCTTTCCCTTGCGCCCCATTTCTGCTTCTCCATATTTAGCACAACAAAGTAACAACGAACAGCGTGGCCTTTCACAAAAGCCGATCCCCACCTGCTTATTTACTACAGCAGCTTCACAGTATGGGTTGTGCTGCTGGGTATTTTTGTTTAAATGTCTGCTGACTGAAGGGGCCTGGCATAGTGTGGAGGCTGTGTTTGACAAAGCGTCTGTAGTGAAAGGACCTGCCTGTATCACCTCCCACCAAACACCTGCATGCTGACAAATGAATCCCGAGAGCTCCCTTTGAAAAAGAAATAAGTCCCTGTACCTCTGTGTGGCTGAATGGCAATTAGCCCCCCTTCCTTGCATGCTTCCCTCCCTAAATAAAGTTGTTAATGCTGTTGTCTCGGCTAAGACTCCCCACTCTTGCCCTCAAAATTGCTCTGAGTTGACACCACAGCCAAGCCTGCCCTGCAGAGGCAGAGCCTCGATCTTTCAGGCTTCTTTGAAGGGACTGTCTACAATGAGGTCAGCCTACCCTGCCTCACAAGCAAAGACATTTTTCTCATTGCCAAACAGTCTAGGAGTAAAAGAGGGGTTTGCGTGAGCAGAGGCAGCTCCTCAGGAAGGCTGCAAGGAGAGGAGGGAGTCTCACAAGTGACAGATGGAGAAGGAAAGCAGAGGGGGAGCTGTAGTCATGAATCACTGTAAGGGTATTTCACCAGCTGGCTGCAAAGACAACCAGACTGCTCCAACCAGGGGAAAATCTGAGAAGGAAATTAGAGTAATGGTACACTGCTGTTGCAGCTCAGAACCAGTGACAAGTTAAGGGATCTACATCCTGGGAGTTGTGTTTAAGTGTTTTAGCCAGAGATGCTAAGAGCAAGTTCCAGTCCCTACAGATCTACCCTAATGCTCCTGGGGTTTTGCTGGGGACCTCACCTCAGGAAAGATGACTGAAATAGGGAAATAAAATTCAAGAAATGTGTTTCTGGAGATGAGAATGACTGAGGGATGAAACGAATAGGGAAAATCAGGATGTGGGTGGCAGTTAAGCATCACTTGAAAGGGGATGCCGGGCCAGAGAAATATTTCCCTTTACTGAAATGACTTCAGCTTTTCTTCTCAAGGTTATAATGGGTCAATCTCTTCTAGCTAAACATGCTGGTGATTTTCCTTCCTTATGAAACTCCCTTTATATCCTCTTTTAGCAGTTGCCTTCTGAGAACAGCAGCAATAAGCTTTGCTTTTGCTGCAATCTTCGTTTTGCCCTACTCAGCAAATCTGAACAGGAAGGGACTCAGGCATCACCAAAGATGAAAGACTCCACAGTTAACAGCTCATATTTATACTAATCAGGTGAGTTCCTAAATGCAAGAAACAGAGACAGATCACGAGACAGGGCACAGTTCTTTTTTTTCAGGTTTTAAATCTCCTCTGCCACATTTACAAAAGTGCTAATGAAAGGCTGAGGTTGTGCCAATGCACTTAGAAACAGGCATGACCATGATCCATTAAATATGGATAGGTTTGCCTTGTAATATGTCAGACTGAGGTTCAGTTCCTGAAGCACTAAATGTTTTACCCTTAAACGTTTGACTAGAAAAGCATTTGGTGTTCTTTTCATGCTTTTATGCTAGCACATTCAGCACACATACTTGCTTTGTAGCTTTCCTGGCAGGGTGCAAACAGGGGCAAATCTGTTGCCCACAATGCAGCCCACCCAGCAAGACCAAATGCTGGTCAGACAGAGCAGGAGACTGAGATGGAGGCAATTCCTCCCTTCTGCACATGGACATCGTGGTACAGCCACACAGTCACTGTGCAGAGTGGCTTCAGAGACCTCCCTTGTGGTATCCCACAGATGCTGGTAGAGAAACAAGGAGCAGCTATGCACATCTTCCCCTGGGACATTGGTTTCCCCCCTGTACACTGTGTTCCTCATAGCACAGTGCTCTAGCCTGCAAGACTCTCCTGTCTCTGCGTCTATGGCAGCCCTTCAAGATGGAACCATGCCAAGTCCAATGAAAAGGGAGCCTCTGTGGTTTTGGAAGAAGGATAACAAATCAAATCACGGTTGCATATCTACTGTAATATCCGCATTGGTGTTACTTTTTACAGCCCTGTTCCTTAGACTGCTTGTGTGAGCCCTGAACTGTGCAGCAATATTTTTTAGAATGACTCTTAGACAATTCCAGAAAGCTGAAGAATCTGACATGCAACTTTGTCTTATTTTAGTTCCTGAAGGAAGGTGAAAAACTTCAAACATGGCAATATGTATTGTAGATATCCCAACAGCAACTTTTCTGATTTCTAGCACATACCAGTGTTGCACACTTGGAATTTTGGGTCAACTTTAGGTAAAGCAGAAATGGAGGGTTTTGTTTCAGAAGAAACTCTGAACATGAACAAGCATAGCAGCTTTTCATGGAGCTGTTCTGATAGTCAGTTCCAATCATTTTTATTTTGTTACTACACTTTATACCGCAAGCATCCCTTGGTTTCTCATATGGATGATGTCTTGCAAAATCACAAAGCATGATGTGCAGCAGCTGGTGACTTTGGGAAAACAGGAAACTTTCCATCCCACTGTGATGCCTCTTACGGAAATTACCAATTAGTAAATGTGACACTTAACTGGCCCTTACTAGGTTTGAGAATTAACATTCCATGCAAGTAAACAGAAAGCAGTTATCACTTCTTCAGTTTAATATTTCAAATTGACTTATGTTTCCAATTATTTTGAATGAGATCAACCAGACTGAGTCAATCCATAGCTACCCAAGATGTCATAGGGAAACCAGACTTTAATAATCTCTAGAAGTGACCTGCCTAACAGCAAACTTATCCTAAGTTTGGAGCATCAATTTACTCGTGTGCTCAGTGCTTGGTGTGCAAGCCTGCCCATGCACATGTGCATCTCACACTACTGAAGGACTGTTAATTTACAGCATCCAGATACACTAGAAAACCTTATGATAGGCAAAAAGAATCGCCCTCTCCTCAGACAACCATGAGAGCATGTCTGTCTCAACATACTTTTAGAGAGAAGAAAACAGATGGCACTTACCTCCGACAGCGTTACAGCGAGATGTCATTTCCCAGAGGACCAAAGCCATGGAGTACACATCTGTTTGTTTGAAGGACTCCATGTTCTCCAGGTTCATCCTGGACTCCAAAACCTCAGGGGCCATATATCTTGCTGTGCCAACCTACAGGAGAAGAGATTGGGGAGAGCTCACAAGCTGAAATTGCAATTCATGTTTTGGATTCCACTGTGATTTAACTTCAGCTTTCACAGAAACAGTGCCATTTGACATGTATCCAAAAATTCAGGCTATACTTGGCACAGGCCATATTTTCTGCTGCCAGGGGAATCTGGCATTGTCCTGACTACCAACTTACTTGTACCTCTCTTGGTGAGGAAAAAAAAAATAGCCCTTTTTACTTCCTTAAGCAAATAATTTTGACACTGACAAATTTTCTCACTCTTTGGCTATTCACAGATAAACTCCAGCCTTTCGGCCTGAAGCAATTGCTGCTGACCAAGTGTCTTTCAGATGAGCAAGAAACATTGTATTATATTGCACAGCATATTACAGTGTTAGCTGTTTCTTTTCATGGTAGGCTTAAAAGGAGAGTAAATGCAGGCCTGGGAGAAGAAAGCAAACACACAAATGCTGAATGCAGAACCACACATTTGAACTGAAACCAAAAATCTGCCCTTTGAAAAAACGTTCTCATAAACTTTATTCATACTGAGCAATTTTCAGCAATGACTTTAGCAGCTTTGCTGAGATCTAGATTATGATTTTGCATTACAGAAAGTGAAGTTTAAAAGTCTGTTTTTATAATGAGAAAGGATTTAAGGAAGAATTCTTGGATCACTCAACAGTTGCTCTCAAATGACAAACTCTTCACAAAAATAACGTATCCCCCTTGAAAAACTGCAAACAGAAGTCTTTCATCAGGCAAAGACAGATTCAAGTTGAAGACTGTTTAATGGCAGGGATGAACAAACACAAGTGGGTGATGCAGTAGGACATATGATTTAAACGAGCTGTTTACACTACAGCAATCACTCCAGAGCCCAGAGGCAAGCAGGGCTGTGAAAGATCATTTCAGTTACTGGGTCTGCAACTGCAGACAGCCACATAGTAAATGTGCAGTCTTGAGAGAGCCCTATGGGCACCCTTTTTATAAGCCTCTGTAAACATGTCTTATCACCTCAGGCTCAGGGCAAGTGTGAGGATGTTCCACAAAAAGTGGAAAGTATCATAACAAGAAGGAAAGATCAAGAACATAGCTTTGTCATAGGACCTTGCAACAGCAGAAAATCTCTGTGTCAAAAATATCCGAATGGTTGTAGGATCAAAGCCTTTATAAACAGAGGACAGAAAAAAAAATTCAGTGTGAGCAGTCTCAAAGTTAAGTTCCCTGCTACATTGACACTGATGAATTTAAGGGCAAGCATATGAATAGCAGCTATACCCTGAACAGATACTTGGGCCAGTCATGTCTCAGCACCACCAAGGTGAGCACCAACTCCCTTCCCTACATAAAATGTACAGATGGAAACACTGAAGTAGAGGTTGCTGCTACCCACCATTAACTCTCTAGCACATGATTTCTTCTCCAAGCCATCCCACCCAAAGCTTAAGAAGGTTACCTGTGCACATGGCCAAACATCTGCAAACCTTGCAGATTTTAACAAGAGTTAATGATGCCTAAACACAGGTCCCTCACATTGCCACAAAGTTCTGTTCTTGTCTGGCATTTAACACACTCTTTGCAGCAATGAAAATGATTCTGCACTTTTGCAGGACAGTGGAGGATGAAGGCCTACAACTACAATGCACAGAAGAAAGTGTAGAAAAAAAAATTGACTTGAAGAATGCTATCAAGCCAATCTTATATCCTTCCTGCTTAGAATTATCATGTATTTCATTCTGCTTATGTCGTTTTATCTGCATTTTAGTTTATCACGTTTATTGGTCAAAGACACTTTTTCTGTATGTTGAAAACAAGTGACTCCTGAGTCTCAAAGGCATTTTTAGGTATCTGAACTCTGGCAATTCCAAGCTGATTGCCCCCGCTAGGGTCTGGATATGTTTCTTCTTTGCAGATACCAGTCTGCTTTCAGTTCTTGATTTTCCAAAACTTCTAGTGAGAGACCATCTCGCTTCATTTTTGTGATGTTTGAATCTTTTTTTACTGGAGATCTTACATTTCTTTCAAGCTCTTGAGAGATGTTTCACGCCCTGAGGTGTATCAGTCAGAGAGGCAGTATATATTTCTCTTTATCTGATGCTGCTGAGGTATAGAACTGCTGGCCTTGCAGCCACCTACCAGTTCTCTGAACACAGTGGGAAGAAGGTCCAGATTTATATGGTCACATTAAGTAATGTCTGCAAATATTAACCATCATGGATGACCAAACTCAAAAGACTGCAAAGGTTCTGTATGGGAAAAAGGTGGTTTCC